TTTGTTTTAAATGTAGTTTGGGAAGAATGCCTGCTTGCAGTGAGTAACATAATGAGGTGTCTGTTAAGAAACTGTATTTTCCTTAATTGCTTGCTTCTCACTCCTCTATCTGAAATCTACTGTCAGTAAGAAATGTACTGTAAGATTGCTTTTGATGTGCACAATCTATGATAGCATAAAAACTACTATATTTAAGGGAGAACTTGGCTTTCTGATTTAAGAAGACCCCTCTGTTTGGCTGCTTGTAGGCTCTACTACAAGGTGAGGGATGTCTATCCATTGAAGTGTCCCCAAAATGAGAGGTATTTTTATGAGCTTAAAAAAAAACCATTTAAAACTGTCAATTTTGGCATGATCTTATAGTAAGTTAAAGATCTGAGAAACTTTAGTGACAGGCACAACTTTGGAAAGTGAAAATAAAAGGCGTGCACAAGTGCCACCCTTGAAGGCTTTGAAAAAGAAACCGGTGCGAATATAAGCCTAGCAACTCCCCTGCAGTGGGATTTGAATGAGAACAAACAAGGCTCATCTTTATAGGAATGGGCCTTGCACATATTACTATGGATTAAGGAGGAATAACAGTGCAGGGGAAAGAATCTGAATAAAGGATTTTGTCAAGGCAATCAAAAGACGAGAACTCTGATCATTCCACAGGCCTTTTAGTTCCTGGAATTACTCAGACTGACCTTTGTGCTCTAATCTTTGTACTCGGATAAACTTAGACCCGAGGCTTTTTTTTAATATGTTTTTTAAATTGAGTGATTGGGTTTCTTCTTGTTAATCAGGTACTTGGGTCTTGAAAGTTGCTCTTTTCCGATCTAGAAGCAGGTCTGGTGGAATTTTCAAAGCCTACTAAGAGATTTGGAGGCCCAAACCCCAGGGCCGGCGCAACCCATTAGGCAACCTAGGCGGCCGCCTAGAGCGCTACGATTTGGGGGGCAGTGACCGCGGCGGTATTTCGGCGGCGGGACCTTCCGCCGCCTAGGGCGGCAGAAAAGCTGGCAGCGCTCCTGCCAAACCCTCCTGGAATTGGGTATGCAGACTTGTTAGGCAGCTTTGAAAAATCTCAGCCACCGCCTCTTGTAAACTTGCATTCTAAGCAGATGGGCACTTCTTGAATGTGTGTGCAACTAGTTATAAGGAAAAGTTGTACACGGGATAGCAAGGCGCTAAAGTACAGAGAGGATATTGTTTGGAGTTGAAAATTGAGATGGTCAAGTTTAAAAAAAAAAAGGCAAAAAACCAAAACACAACACCCCATATTCTCCAAATACTAGGATTATTAATATTTGGCTGATGGATAGCCATGTTGCTCATCATTGGCCATCTGCTACTAGCCTCGAGATATGGGCCCAAACCAAAACCCTGGAGCCAAACATGCCTGAACTTTGTGGAAGTCTGATTCAAATCCAGACTGCAGAGCTGGTCTTTATGGAATGGATTAAGCCTAACCCTGCCACCCTGTACCACCCCTACCCCCGCCAAACCGGCTTTCTCCCAAAATACATTTTGGACCTATAAATGCATAGACAACACTTCCTTTGTTCGGTGGAATCCTGTACTCTTAACTGGCTTAGTGGGCACTTTGAGAGAGAGAGAGAGAGAGAGGAGACAAATCACTGGACCTGAATTCTCAAGCCACTATTGTGGGATGTACTTTGACTTAACCCAGTTTTTCCTTAGGCGGACTCCTGAGGATAAGTATTCTCATTACATTGCATGGATATACTGACCACTATACTCATGCAGGGCACCCCCAGAAAAGGTCTGCAACCTGATTCCTGCAGAGATCCATCACAGTCTAAATAGAGCCCTTTTTTTTTTTTTTTTTTAAAGCACCGCACAGATTCTGCTATTGCTGTTGAAAGAGCTCTTGCCAAGCATACAATGAGCCTTGCTTTTACCTCAGAAATGGCCAGTGTTCTAATGCTTAAAGAAGATAAGATACCATCTGAACAGTTCTGTTAAGGCTTGTGTTAAGTTGGGATTTCTCTCTCAATATTAGAGTTCAGGAAGTTACCTGAAGCCAATCTGCTCTTTTACTCCACTTTGACATCTCTCTGCACCATCTGTCATGCATTTGCAATCTATTGTCAGAATGGAATACATCTGGTACTGGTTGGATGGATCTGGGCAGTGGATTGAATATGGGAAACAGGTGAGCTTGTGTTCGACTGACACCCAACACTGAGTCATTCTAGATGTCACACAGATGTTCTCTCAGTGCTCTCTATGTGCACAGGTGTATTACTGTATTCTCAGGTGTGCCTCTGTGTTTTAGTTGTTCCTCAATATTTCATTAATACTCCATAGAAGCTTCTGAGGAATAGCTCTAAAAATTGGTGTATTTGTCTAGGTCTGGTCATATAATTTTGGTCAAAAACTGTTTTTCAGCTAAACAAATTGTGCCATGAAAGGTATTGGGTTTCCAAGGAAAATGTTGATATTTCACAGACAGCCGAAAGCATGAAAACCAAAATACTGCACTTTGATTCAAAATGACACCTTGGGAGTTATCGTTTGAGTGTTCCCATTCTCACTGTGGGCTGGGCTTTCTGGATGTACTACATCTCCTATGATGCGCCTCTTCCTCCCCACCAAAAGAGGAGAGAACGGGGCATCACCAGTGATGTAGTCTGGCCAGACAGCCTAATCCATACAACAAAATGGGAGTATAAGGCACCCAAACTACAACTCCCAGGAGGCACAGCAACGCCCCTTTGAATCAAAATCCTTGCTGAAAAGTCGAAATCTTCTGCAGAAAATTAAGGAAAACAAACAAACCATTTTTGTGAAAGGTTTCTTCCCTCTGGAAAATTATCTTTTGATCTGCTCTAGTATTTTCTGTTACACAGCCCCATTTCCAGTTACTGCATTCAGAAAAGATCCTGCCTTCTCGTATCCTTTCACCTTTGCTTTGCACTGTAGCTCTATGCAAATCCTAAGGCTTGTAGCCCAACTGCCCTTTTTTCTATAAAGTGCTTTCAATCTCCTCTGAACATGGTGGATCTATAGCTGTGCTATATCCACTAATCTGTCACAGTGGACTTATAGCTGGTCCTATTGGAACTCTGTGCAGGACCAAAGAAAGGGAGAGTTTAATGGTGTTTCTCAGGAATAGTGTTGGCATTTGCAAGCACCGTTTCAATCAAAATTTGTAACAGATCTTCAGCTGATGCCTCTTTGAGTGAGTCCTATTTGGCTCCTCTTGAGTAAATCCTTTCCATCTCTTGTGGACTAACTCAACATTAAACCAGACTAATAGTCATTGAGCAGAGCTAAATACTCTTCTTCCAATGGTAGGAGGAAGCATGCCAAACTGACCTAATTTAACACTATCATTGACTTAATAAAAATGAATAGATTATAGGCTAACCTCTGCTCTGTTACATGCATACAATGCCATTGAAGCCAAAGGTCCATTTGTAATTTTCCCATGCTCTCATTCTATAGTATGCAAATTATTGTGCTGCCACGGTAACTTCTGCAGATCTGGAGGTGGCATTTCTAGCGGACCGAAAAGGCACTGTATTGTTTCAAGCTGGTTCTCAGCAGTATGAGATAAACTTTCAAGGTAAGGTACCTGCTTGTTTAAAGTTTAACACATTACAACATGATTGACTTAAACATAGCTTCCTTCGTGCAAAGTCTCTCCAGATGTTCTCTGCTGACAAATAGACTAGTGAGTGAACTCTCTATGAACTCTGGGACAGCTACTCTCATGCAAGAACAAAGGGAAAAGTAAAAGAGGAGAACTGAACCTTAAAACATGGTGAAGATGCGAAGACCAGTGGATAGTCTTGCAGACTCATTATGGTGAGGGAAGGCATAAAGGATGCAGCCAGGGTAGGAGCCAGTTGCTTGGACTAAGGTGAAAATGAACAGTAAATCCAGAGAGATCTTTGTGTTTGTAAAAAGAACAGGAGTACTTGTGGCACCTTAGAGACTAACAAATTTATTTGAGCATAAGCTTTCGTGGGCTACAGCCCACTTCATCAGATGCATAGAATGGAACATATAATAAGAGTGTGTGTGTGTGTGTGTGTGTGTGTATGTATATATATATATATATACACACACACACACACATGCAGAGAAAATGCCATACCAGCTCTAAGAGGCTAATTAATTAAGATGACCTATTATCAGTAGGAAAAAAACTTTTGTAGTGATAATCAAGATGGTCAATTACAGACAGTTAACAAGAGGTTAAGGATAGTTATCATAAGGAAATCGATTCAAGTAGTGTAATGACTCAGCCATTCCCAGTCTCTATTCAAGCCAGAGTTAATGGTATCTAATTTGCAAATCAATTCAAGCTCAGCAGTTTTTGTTTGTGACATAGATATAATACTGTGAAATAAATTAAAAGTTCAACTGGCTTTCCAATGTCTCAAAAGTATTTGGTATCTGACATATGAATAAAAAAAGGGTGTGTGGCTCCCAAAAATGCATGTGCACATAGAACACCACAAGTGACATAGTCTGTGTTTCACTACAAAGGTGGTAGTGGTGTTATAATGCTTTATCTGTGAGATCAGTACAGGATCAAAAAACCAGCAAACAAGGGGGAAGCTTTTGTTTAAACCCTAAGGAGCAATCCCATACTGCCAGGAAGAATGCACTAGCTAGATGACCTAATGTGTCTTCCTCTTTTAGTCCGTATAATTCCATAAGCAGAAACCTAGCTGGTAAGAGGAATTGCAGGAAAACTGATGATGGTGATATAGGACTACATCTAGTCAGATTTCCCCCATAAAGTCCTAATGACAGTGAGATAGAAGAACTGGAAATGGGTCAGAATAACAAAAAGGGCTTCAAGTAGGAGTAGGACAGGTGAAAGAGTGACCCCAACCTGTGAAGCATTGAAGGCCAGGGTAGGAGCAATACATAGCTGTACTATATCTTTATTTAAATAAACAGAGTTCTCGGGGAGTGAAGTTTCTTTAACTCCTGCCATGTTAAATTTTTTCTTTCTTTCAAGATATGGTCCAGATAAACTTGCACTATCAAACTCGGAGAAAAGTCTGTAGGTGGCCAAAGTTTGTGTTCTTCGGTGGCGGAGACAAGAGTGAGAGAAGGTACTGGCGAGTGTGTTCACTACTTACTTTTTCATTTTATTGCCAAACAGTGCCTTACACGGAGTGTCAGTTCATAGGGAAGCCTCTGGCATACGATAGTTTGGGTTAATGCCAGGCTGTGTTGTGGATGTGATGGTGAGTGTAGGTTCCCCAGCACCTCCAGGATGTAGGCTTTGATAGCACTCTGTGGCGACTGATGGCTTGCAGATAGCTGGAGGAGTTGTGTACTCTTTGCGACTATTGGTAACACTATCTCTCTGTTGCTTGAGAAAGCATCTATTTGTTCTTTAATGTATGTGACCAAAGGAATAAAATTATTTCCTTCATACAAAAAATAGGAGCTAGGGAATGCCACTCTGGAGAGCTAGGATGGAGCCAGATAATGCTGTCCCTGGAGGCCCAGGGATGCTGTGATGTGCAGAAAGGTTTCCTTAAAGCGAATCATACACGCGGATTTAAGGAACTTCAGTTAATTTGAGGAAGTTCCAGCATATGGCTCAATAAAGTTAGGGAGAGGGAATTTAAAGTATGATTGGTTCAACAAAATTTCGGATCCCAGCTGGGAGAACAAGTGTTACGGTGCTTCTTTTCTCTTTACACAAAACAGCTTCTGGAACTCATTGCCACAGGATATCTTTGCAGCCAAGAGTTCAGCAGGATTTTAAAAAAGGATTTATATGGATAAGAATAGCCACAGTCATATTATCGAACATAAAATCATTGTATTTTGGAAGGACTATTTAACACCCTGAATCAGGAGAGTTTCACAACTATCTGATGGAGGTTAGAATAAACATTCCTTATGGACTTGTTATGCTATAACTATCCACTTCAGTTTCTTGTGCCTCCTTCTGAAGGGTCTGGTACAGGATAGTGGGCTAGACAGACCACTAATCTGATCTGGCATGCTACTTTGTGTGTGCATAGCCCAGGCAAAGAGAAAGGGGTAACATCCTAATTTCCCAGGGGTTCAAGCAGCTATTGGAACTCGCTCTGGAAGCATTATGTGAAGTGTCCTTAAGATTAAGTTTCAACAGCTTTCCTACCCATTCTACCTCCTCTTAATTGTGCTGCCTGACTCTTACGGTACCCTTTATTCTCTCTGGCAACAAGTTACCTCTTGTTCCTATTATAGCCAGTCACTGTAATATGCATGAATTGGCAACTAGTATTACCAAGATAAAATAGTTCCTGTGGCTTGTGTCTCCAAGACAGCGTTTAGAGCTGATTGACGCTCCAGGGTAGGATAATCAGTGTGGAAGTGCCGTAGGCTCACTGCTGTTCATTTCTTTTGTTTGCAAACAGCCAATTGGAAACTACTTATCCACTTCATCTGTTTCCTCCAAACTGGGACCAATCGGCACTGCCTGACATAGGGTACAAGGTACTCTTTGATCTGTTAGCTCTACTCAGGGAGATATCTTCCCTATATTGGTTCTTGTGGAAGGTAGACTACTTAAAATGCAACCCTCAAACTCAAGAGATGCGGTTCATGTGGTGTTTCCAGTGACATGTGCAAGCTAGAAATATACAGTTGGCATGTTTGACATAGACATGTCACTGGGAAGAGAATTAAGACCATCAACTCATTCCACAGGAGTGCATGACTGAACAGCCATCAGATCATGATGACTTTTTGGTCACTACTGACTTGATCTGGACTCCAACTAATGACTTAGAGCATGACGCTCCATAGCTCAATGCAGATTTTTTTTTTTTTAATCCCCAGCAGTATTTTTCTTTAAAAATGAACACACTGAAGAATTTCATAGTGAGGGGAATTCTGAAGATTATCAAGTCATGTAAAAAAATATTATGGAGACACTTACATTGCTTTCCTCATTAAAATGTCTGCCACTATGGTTACAACGCTATTTTAAAATAATTTGCTACAGTAAAGTTAGTATTACTTTTCAAGTGTGAAAAGACCTCTAATAAGTAAGGGTGGGCTCTGGGAAAGTTTGGAGTATAGTACAGCTTGCTTTCTTTTTTGAAATTTGACCAATTTAAAACACACACTTGCATACGCGGGTGAAACATACTCAAAAATGACTAGAACTAAATGGAAAATTCATTTTGAGTTGACAAACATTTTGATTCAAAACTTGAGAAAAAAATTGGTCTCAATTTGATGAAATAAAAAAAATTGATTTATTTGATTCAAATCAAACTTTTTTTTTTCTCCCCCCAGTTTGGGGGCCAAACTGAAAAAAATGAACTATTCACTCGGCTTGAATTGTGAGTGTAGTTGTGGGGTAGTTACATCTCTAATGCAGTGTGATTGGGTGCTTCCTTTTGTGAAAGGCTTGGGGAGTGCTCATTGAAAACACTTTAACATCTCGATTTCTGTTGTGCTTATCGTTTTTAGTTGGTGGAGCTGAGTGACACTACCGGTGAATACAAGGAAGTCAAGGACCTATTTGAGAAGACAATGAAAAATTATAGAATCTGCAGATTGCAGAGGATTCAGAACCCATCACTTTGGCAAGTTTTCCAGTGGTTTGTATCCATTTTATTTAATTAAAAAAACCTCAGTCTTCTAGACTGAGCTCAATAAGTTTATGGAGGGGATGGTATGATGGGACTGCCAATGATGGCATGTGGCCCATTGGTGACTGCCAGTAGCAAAAATCCCCAACTGCTGGAGGGAGAACACTAGGTGGGGAGGGCTCGGAGTTACTACAGAGAATTCTTTCCCAGGCATCTGTCTGGTGGGTCTTGCCCACATGCTCAGGGTCTAACTGATTGCCATATTTGGGGTCGGGAAGGAAGTTTCCCCCAGGTCAGATTGGCAGAGACCCTGGGGGGTGTTAACCTTCCTCTGCAGCCTGGGACATGGGTCACTTGCAGGTTTAAACTAGTGTAAATGGTGAATTCTCTGTAACTGGAAGTCTTTAAACCAGGATTTGACGACTTCAGTAACTCAGCCAGAGGTTAGGGGTCTATTTCAGGAGTGGGTGAGATTTTGTGGCCTGCGATGTGCAGGAGGTCAGACTAGATGATCACGGTGGTCCCTTCTGACCTTAAAGTCTATGAATCTAACTGGGTGCAGCAGAGTAATCCTGATAATTCTAGAGTTTGTTCTTTCTCATTATAATAATAATATATGGAGATATACCTATCTCATAGAACTGGAAGGGACCCTGAAAGGTCATCAAGTCCAGCCCCCTGCCTTCACTAGCAGGACCAAGTACTGATTTTGCCCCAGATCCCTAAGTGGCCCCCTCAAGGATTGAACTCACAACCCTGGGTTTAGCAGGCCAATGCTCAAACCACTGAGCTATTTATGTGCTGATGAGTCTCACTAACTAATCAAGAAGAAACTATTCCCCCTAAATACCATAACTGAAGTAGCTCAAGACTGTTTTCCAGGGGTGCTGGAACAATTTGTATAGTGGGGGTGCTGAGAGCCATTGAACCAAACTGTAAACCATGTATATGATGGAAACCACTTCAAGCCAGGGGGTGAAGTAGCACCTCTAGGTCCAGCACGTATGCTGATTTCTCATGAATGTTCAGTTCTGGGTCCCTTTTATTAAGGCTATGGGTTGGTGAGGTTTTCTACTGAAACTTTGCAAACCGTTCCTAGCTTGATTTAAAATGTGTCTGTAGATCTTCTTGTCAGAATACAGTTTACGTGGCTTTGCAGGATATAAAAAGGATCATGTTCCTATGAGCCTGTTACTTTATGGTTGAATTTTGTGGCTAGATGGGTTTGCACTGACCTAATGGAACTAGAAGTGTGACTTCCTCCATGTGACTTTCCCAAAGAAACATAATTTGATCTTGAAATTCCATTGTGGTCAGCATCCTAGTGCCCAGAGAAAGAGAGAGATTGAGATTCACACTAAGGTTTGATTTTAGAGGCCACTAGGAAGCGTAGTATTGGTTAGATGCATTTTGTCTCACTTCCTCTCCTTCTTGCTGAAAGCCACAGCATAAATCTGGACAAGGAGTTTCAACTTTAAAAAACAACAACAAAAACACTCTGCACTTAGTTATATATGTGGATCTCCCAATTACATTGATGGGGTTGCATGGGTATATCTGTGGGCAGAATTTGGCCCTTAAACATCAGAACCCTAAGACAGGGGAAGTAACTTGCGCTAAATCTAAACACTTTTGCTCGAAGAGATGTTTCCTTGGAGTACCCTGGCTGAATCAAAGAGCAGCAGCCATGAAGAGGAGAAGGCGGCACAGCAGATGGATCAGGAAGACAAGATTGATCTGGCGAAATCTACCAGCAGCAAATCCTAATGACAGCAGAGTTGGATGATGTGAAAATCTTTGTGGAAAGCACTAATCTGAAATTGCAGAGCTTTCAAGGAAGATTTGAAGCAGTCGAGGTTTGCATTAGTGCTTCAGAGGCTCTTGATCAGGGCTGGCTCCAGGCACCAGCTTCTCAAGCAGGTGCTTGGGGCGGCCGTTCCGGACAGGGGCGGCAGTTCCAGGTATTCGGCGGCAATTCGGCGGACGGTCCCTCACTCCGCCTGGGAGCGAAGGACCTGCCGCCGAATTGCCGCCGCAGATCGCGATCGCGTCTTTTTTTAGATCGCGATCGCGTCTTTTTTTTTTTTTTTTTTTTTTGGTTTTGGCTGCTTGGGGCGGCCAAAACCCTGGAGCCGGCCCTGCTCTTGATCTGCTTATTAACCTGCACGTGAACATTAAAGCAGATGTGACAGTTATATTAGGAAAAAAATGAAGATTTGGAGAACAGAAGCTGGTAACGTGCAGCTCTTGGGGAAGGGTGATTGAGGGGGTAGAGAGCACAACTGCAAAAGCATGTGTGCAGCAATGTTCCTATATGGGAGCAAGGCCACACTTTGCCCTTTAGTCTATTGTCCCTATCCCTGTAAGAGGTGAGTGTGTTTGTGTGAAGGAGTGGCTGTAGCTTGCTTGCTTCCCCTTATAACCTTGATTTTTTTTTCTCTTTAATTCTCCCATCTCCCCCACCAGAATGAACCCATCTTCCTGAAATATTGCATGTTATACTATCATTCCAGGGACAAGTTTCTTTGGGAAGCTTGGTTTAAAAACAAAAACAAAAATCAGTGATGGTGTTTTGAAAACTTGCCTGAAGTTCACTTGGAAGTTTCTCTCTATTTTGGGAGATAGGGTCGGGATTCAGAATCTCTCCAAAACAGTTTCTTAGAAACACCAACTGCATTTGATTTTGATGGCTTTGCTGAGAAGGCTGTTTTGTGGTGTTTGGGGTGGAGGAGGAGAGAAGGAGAAAGAAGGGGATGATTAAGGAGAACAAGTTAGCTATGTAACAAACCACGTTTGCTTCCCCACGCTAATGTAGGCAGAGCAGAAATGAACTAAGGGTTCATCAAGCCAGGGCAGGGCTCAGCAGAATGCTGTGGTAGGGTCCCTAAAGGGAAAAGGAAGTGCTTGCTTGGCCCGGTCATGTCATGGGAAGCAAGGAGGAATAAGGAAACTGAAAGGCTATATTTTACTTATGTTCACAAGTTAAGGACTACCTGGGTATTTCCCTGCCTGAAACTCTAAGTTATCTGCTGTCTGGGATTGAGGGTTGAAAGTTTTAGGGGAAAAGTTAAGTTTGTGTGGGCACAGTAAGTTGGATGGGGTTAGAGATGAATGATAAAGGATTAAAAGGCTGAGAACTGACTCAAGTATCAGAGTGGTAGACGTGTTAGTCTGTATCCACAAAAACAACAAGGAGTCCGGTGGCACCTTAAAGACTAACAGATTTATTTGGGCATAAGCTTTTGTGGGTAAAAAACCCCACTTCTTCAGATGTTTTTTACCCACAAAAGCTTATGCCCAAATAAATCTGTTAGTCTTTAAGGTGCCACTGGACTCCTCGTTGTTTTTGAGAACTGACTGGATCCCTTAACTGTTCATTGCCAGATGTTCTAACTTTCAAGCCTTTGAAAGATACAGAACTTCTGTAAAATGTTGTATTTTTGGATGTTAGCTGGACTACATCAAAAAACACAATTGGCTTTAACAAAGCTTCTTGCTCATTAATATACTTATCGGGCATGTGCCTGAGCTATGAAGTCCCAATTTGGATTCAGAACCAAATCTTAAACATTCCCTAAGTTTAGGGTGTTCGGGGCTCAGCTAACCATATGCAAATAAGTAAGCTGCTGAATTCAGATCTGAATCCAGATCAGAAACTAAACATTCACCACCAAACTCTGGGAATTGGGGGGGGGCGAGGATGTTTATGGGGGTGCAGATGCAGTGTTCCAGTTCAGGCCTCAACCTGGCATGTGCAAGAGTTTAAGGTGGAGGGGGGCAAGGAGAGGTGTGGGGGGGGAAGAACTGTTGCAGGTTTTTAAACAGACATACATGGATTTCTGCTGGCTAATTTTATGTGATCAGCAAATAAAAGCTGTCTGAAAAGACAGCAAA